TCTTGACACTCTTATTCTGTTTGTTATCTACTCTTGGAATTCTGATTAAACATGTTACATTTTTTATTCTAGCTTGCATTTTTCTTAGCTTTCCTTTCAGAGTTTCATTTCTGTGTTATCTCTGTGCTGTGTTCTAATTAATTTTTTGGAATGTATCTTCAAGTTCACTCACTTTCTTTTCTGGTTTGTATAGTGTGCTATTTAACCTATTCATTAAGTTTTTAATTTAAATCATCATACTTTTCATATCTAAAATTTCTGTTCGATAACTTTTCATATCAATCTGGTCACTTGTCAAGGTCTCTTGTTCCTTGTTGTATTTCTTTTCTATTTTTGCCATAACAAATTACCACAAATTTAGTGGCTTAAAACAATACTCAGTTTTATCTTAAAGTTTTGTAGATTAACAGGTTTGTCCAAAACAAGTCTCACAGGACTAAACTCAAAGTGTCTGCAGGGCTGCATTCCTCATTGGAGGCTCTTAAGGAGAATCTACTGCTGGGTTTATCATGTCATTGGCAGAATTCAGTTCCATGCAACTGTAGACAGAGGCTTTTGTTTCCTGGCTGGGTTTCAGCCAGGAGTAATTCTCAGCTTCTAGAGGCCACCTGCATTTCCTGGCTTGTGACCTCTTTCATCTTCAAAGCCAGCAACAGTGGGTCCAGTCTTTTTCAGGCTTCAACTCGCTCTGACTTCCCATTCTGTCTCATCTCACTCGCCTGATTCTTCTGCCTTCCCCTTCTGCTTTTAAGGACTCATAGGATCACATTGGGCTCACCTGGATTATCCAGGATAATCTCACTATTTTAAGGTCAGCTGATTAATAATCTTAATTATATCTGCAAAATCTCTTCACAGCAGTACCTTGATTAGTGTTTGATTGAATAACCAGGAGACAGAAATCTTAGGGAGGACAGGTTTAGAATTCTGCCTATCACACTTATTATATTTCCAACACCTTTTTTAATATTTTCAAACATTATGCTTCCTCATTTTATATTATCTATTTGATAATTAGAATATCTGCTGTCTTTGTACTTTGATCCTGTTTCTTTTGTTTATGTTGGCTCTTGCACAATATGCTTTATATCTTGGCAGAATTTCTGAGTTTTGATTATAATCTTAGAAATTCTTTGAGCCCCAGGCTGAAGAAAGTGTTCCTTCTTTTGCCGGGTACTTGGGAATACCGCAACCCAGGATTGTTTTAAAATAAAGTTTCAGTGTAAGTTTCCCCCTACACACGCTGGTATTGAGAGTTTAGGCACCTAACCTCCGTCGTTATGAATTTTCAAGGGAGATTTTATCCCTCCACCCAGTGCATAGGCCAAAACGTTAAAATTCCCTTGATGTTTCCCACTATAGGGTGGGTTTTTTTCCTAGCTCACACTTTCATTGAGAATATAGTCCTCTGGGATCCTAACTCTATGTAGTTTTCCATTTAACCCCTAACTTGCTTGGGTCCTAACTTTGTCTCCCATCCCTCGTACCCTGTGTACCTATTAAAGGAAAATTTCAAGATCTCTAGGGCTTAGCAGTTGCCACCTTTGGTCCTTGCTTGTCTCTGGATTCTTGCTGGTGCTTCACCATCTCTCTCTTTTGAGGACTTCCATTATTTTCTTGCCAACAACAGTAATATATGTTATACAATACTTTTTATTATTTGGCCTCAAGAAGATCTCCCTTCTCCCACCCCCAGTATCTGTACCACTATACTGTCATTAAGAAAAGCCCCTTTATTTCTTTTTCAAAACCCCATGTCTTTTTCTTCCTAGACAAATGAAGATCACCATATTTGGAAAAACCTTTTTATTTTCTACTTTAGTTATAAGCTGTTTTTTTTTTTTGTGGTGAGGAAGATTGGCCCTGAGCTAACATCTGTGCCAATCTTCCTCTATTTTATATGTGGGATGCCACCATAGCATGGCTTGATGAACAGTGTGTAGGTCTGCGCTGGGGATCTGAACCCACGAACCCCTGGCCGCCAAAGTGGAGTGTGCAAACTTAATCACTATGCCACCGGGCTGGCCCCTATAAGGTGTTTTCAGTGTTTACTGCTGGGCTAGTCTGATCTCGCCTCTGCAATGGAGACCTCTGTTCTTGATATTTGCATTCCCAAAACTTAACTAGTAAATTTTTACTTTGACTAAAGTGTTTCATTTGGGAATAACATGGCTAATGCCGTGCTGGAGTAACGATTTTAACTATTTTCCTTTTTATATTATATTAGAGTAATAAAACTGACCTAGTTTGTTTGGGTTTACTCTTTTATTGCTAGAACAACCCTCCCCCTCCTAAAAATAAAAACATTTATTTTGGTAAAAGCAATACAGTCAAGCAAAGACAATAGTCATTCATTAACTAAACCAAAAAAATTTGAAACAAAAGTGTCATCACAAAGATTCTTATCAAATATTAAGCATGGGAGAGACATAGTAATATACCTAATAATAATCTTTTACATATAATAATATGTACTACACATGTCAAGACACAATTAATGTGCCATGATATTGTCTTATCAATTTTTGCTAATGAGTTTAATTAATAATATTGGCTAAAAGAGTACCTCCCTACCTCCCAGGCTGAGAAGGAGAGCAAAGCCTTGGATACCAAGTAAGGTGAAAACAGTGTGCACATTTGAAAGGAAAGAAGTCTGAATGCTAGAAATGCTGACACGTACTGTGGCAGTTGGTGCGAGTGAAGGATATACAGATGCCAGTGGAGCCCTCCAAGCACTTGCATGAACAGACAGTAAATAGGCACTTAGTGAAATTGCTACTATTATCTGGACAAGATCGAATTCTAAGTAAGATGCTGAGATTTAAAGTGACAAAGATTTCTAGTTAACCTTTAAGTAAGGATCAAGATAATAACAAAAACACTATCTACCATACAGTGGGAGGGCAAAGATTTGTTTGATCATCTGTTGAGGTTGCCTTTTGGAAACTTTCAAAGATACTATGCAACTCTCAAACTAAAGAGCTTGAGAACGTTGACGTAAATGGGACAAATGTGAAATGGATGAGCTAAGTCATTTTTGATATTTCAACTAAACATAAAGATGTAGCAAGAGAACTATACGGCTCACTTAAACAAATTTTGACTAAGTATAATTTTTCCTGTACTCAGCTGGCAGCTGCTGGAAGTAATTCATTAAAATGATTTAAGGTGAAATGTTTATATTATTTTCTTGAGAGCAAAACTTATTATAATTTGAGAAGTCATTTCATTTTTTCATAATAAAAATGTATTCGTCATATAATATAATTTGGCTGTGATAAATTGAATGACTAGGAAAAAAGCAGAAATGTAATAAATACCATGGGTCATAAATAAATGTGTAACATATGACAGGGAAGGGAATAAGTGAATAGAATGAACATAGAAGATATATACAAAGCAGCAGTATTATATTTTAAGGTTTAAATGGACAAATTTTTCTGAGGAAAAAACAATTAATTTTGCACAAATTAATAAATAAGGAATGAATATGGCAATCTATCATACAATTTTTTGAAGAAATGTATTCTTTTTTAAAAAAATCCTCTTTACTATATTTAATTTTCAAGAATAACTTTATAAATACTGTCACTTGCAAGAAAACCAAACCAGATCTGATGACTTTTATGAAAATTAAAAATAGCAAAGGTGTTTTTTTGTGTGTGTGTGAGGAAGATTCACCCTGAGCTAACATCTGTGCCAGTCTTCCTCTATTTTGTATGTGAGTCGCTGCCACAGCATGGCTTGACAAGTGGTGTAGGTTTGCTCCTGGGATCCAAACCCGTGAACCCGGGCCACTGAAGTGGAGCACGCTGTATGTAACCACTATGCCATGGGGCTGCCCCGCAAAGGTGTTTTTAAGCTTGTCTTCCATTTTATTTTTAGCACAAGAATTTCTGTGTTTTAACTTCTCCATCTTTTCCTAACTATACACATATTTTGTGGTTTTTGATTGCAATTTTTTTCCCTTTAGCTGAATTTTGGAATGCCAATAGACCTTACTCTTTCACATTCTGAATGCTAGGAGACTATTTTCTTCTTCCTACTTTTGTTTGACTGTTTAGTTCTTTTTTCTTTTTGGTTTGCCCATAAATAATTTATTTTTCTCTTTTGTAAATATATCAAAAGTTTTTGTTTTTTTTTTTGTGAGGAAGATTAGCCCTGAGCTAACATCCGATGCCAATCCTCCTCTTTTTTCTGAGGAAGACTGGCCCTGGGCTAACATCCATGCCCATCTTCCTCTACTTTATATGGGATGCTGTCACAGCATGGTTTGACAAGCAGTGCATCAGTCTGTGCCCGGGATCTGAACCTGCGAACCCTGGGCTGCCACAGCGGAGCACGCACACGTAACCACTACACCACCGGACTGGCCCCTGAATAGTTTTAAGTTTTTATTTTCTATCTGGTATTTCATTTCAATGTTGACATAATGGAGTTATGTGATTTTTTTCTATGTCTGTATACACAGTGATAATTCATTTAAATTTCTGAATCTCCTCTTTTTACATAGGAGATTATGTATTTCTGAAATAAGATAAACACTTAAGCGAAATTGCTATACATGTATATAAACGGGTTAATAATTTTATAGTGTTTAGCTTTCTTTCCTAACTACACTGTGCTAATAGTGCAAATCGTAGCAAGCCTTAACCATAGCTTTACAAAATGCTTTTCTCAGTGCACTGAGATCTTTAAAGTGTGAATTACATTACTCTAACCATAAAGTCAATTAGAAATTAATCCTTATCTATGAGTTTTCTGTTGTTTAGTGGATTCACCTATAATTTTGGAACTACTACTTCAATTTCAATTTTCGTACTATATGTATCTATCAAAAATAATCTGATTGCGATTTTTTTTAAATGAGGGAATGCACATTTTATTTAGATTAAACTCTTCTTTTGCACCACCAGATGACCACAGCTTTGAGTTTTCAGAAAATTCCCTTGAACAACACTACAGAAATGATTTATCCAAGTATCTAATTAATTTGCATTTTTTTAATTTTTAGCTTCATGAGAAGTTTCTGAAGTAATAACATTTGAAATGTTACATGGAACCCAAACTGTAAGATGAAGCAAATGACCTAATCTCTTTGAAGGTCAAGTTATAAATTATTCTTATGATGAAGTAGGATGCATATGGTCCATGAGCAAAAACTCCACCATGGGCTTCTCGATGAAAGCATGTAGATACTCTTTGGTTGCATCTCAAAAGAAATGTGGACTCTGAGTTATGACAGCAGGTTTTGGGTGTTCACTGGAACTGCAGCAGCTACACCAGGACTGATTTAAATGTGTCATCAGTCTTCCACAGCCAAATTTTGCAGTGAATTCTTAGTGGTTCCCAAAACACACCACAGGATCGTTAGAGCATTCATCATGGTCATGGCATGGTCTCATTACTAATTGCAGGAGCCCAAGAAGGGTAAGTTTGGAGGTCAAACATGGGCACAATCCAGGTGAACATGCCAAGCATCACCACAGCAACACCCACAATATTAACGCCAAGTCCAGCTTTAACCTTGAACAGGAAAGAACATAAATGTCAGTCTTGCAAAAAAAAATCTATGGGAGAATTGAAATGTTGCTGCAGAAAGCATATATCAGATCTACATGCATCCTAAAAGATAAGAATAAATTATTGATTTCATAAAACAAGGAGTTCTTCCATTCGTGTCAAAAGAGAATCTGTCCCCAACTAAATGCCATTTACCAGGAGAGTCTCAGAGAAGTTCCTCTTAGGAATACACCAAAGTCATTCCAATTCGACAAAAATCCCCTTAAAAACCTGCCATTCGTGTTAAATCAGAATTTGAGTTTCACGGTTTTGTATTTCAGTAAATAAGGTTTAGGTCACTATATGATAACTGGATCCTTTGTATTCATTCAATGTTACTATTAGTTTACCCTTCAGTATTCTTATTGAGATTTAATAATGCCACTTCTTGTATTCATCTTTCTTAGAGTTCCCATTTGTCCAGCTCTGACATTATCATTCTGGTGTCCATTAAATAACCTCAAAGTTGCTTTCTACCCATTAAAACAGAGATCGGCAGACAAACGCCCATGAAGTATTTTTGTAAATAACCACAACCATGCCCATTTCTTTACATTATTATTGGCTGCTTTCATGACACAATGGCACAGTTGAGTAGTTGTGACAGGACCATATGGCCCACAGAGTTTCAAATATTTACTATCTGGCTTTTTACAGAGAAAGCTTGCTTATCTCTGCCTTCTTTGTGTTAAAACATGGAGACCCAAAGCAAAAGGGAGATACCTAGCAATGATTTCTCCTTTTCTGTCCATGCAAGCCACTCATTTATTCCAGAATCCAGCTTTTATTTTTTTAATTCACATATATAGGACATTGCTTATATTATATTATGCACACTTTCTTTACCAGAAGGATATTATATGACTTCTACATAGAGTCATTTCTAGAATTTTTATGTTGCAGGGGTTTAAGGACAGCAATGTATGTGCAAGGAAGGGAACTGGGGCTTACCTGGGAACTGCATTTGCCTAGCAAGCTCCCTGACTTGACTTTGGTTATATTCTTGTTTGGCTTGGTTTGGAAGTTGATGATCAAGATTAGGGGGAGACTAGAATATTCTCAAGCTAGTTTTGACTACCACCACTTCTGTATTTGACAAAAATGCCCGTGTTTTGTCACTTAAATTTTCTATTATTACTTGCTTGTGCTTTCATTTCAGGTGCCACTATTAGAATCGGAACAAGAAAGATGACTTTTCATCATCAGGCACTGAGCACAATGTCTTATTCAGAGTAAATGTCTGTTGCATAAATTATTTGTGATAGCAAACCACAGTGCTTGATTGCTAAATTTCATTGACCCTATATCCTCCTTTTTCTTAGGTCAAGGTGGGTCCTGATCTTGACATGTAAGTTGAGCATATTGTATGCTCTTTTCCTTCTTCTAGGGCATTACTGATGCTTTCGAAATCTCTGTATTTGTGACTGTAAATTCTAATGACATGTTCACTTCTGGTTATCACTCTTAAAAGCAGTTGTATGACCTGTCGTGCACTCACCTTCAGAAGCAGAACTTAAGCCATGCTTTTCCTGACAGTTGATTAGTGTGTAAAAGGGAAGATAACCCAACACATCACAAGAAAAGTCTACTGGACCTGATAGTATTCTTTCAGCTCACTTACCATGTCAATAACTGTCAGATGGCCATATGAGAAAACAATAGCATTGGGCGGATTTGCTACCGGGAGGAGGAATGCAAATGAAGTGCACAGAGTAGATGGGATCAAAATGTAAAGAGGGTTCACGTGAATGGCTTCAGCCTGTTGGAAAAGATAAAAAGAAGTCTAAGGAACATTTTGAGGGAGGCACCAAGCACCAGAATGAGCAAAATTATTACAATAAACTTTCCTAGAAGCAGGTTGAAACCCAAAGACATAAAATTATACACAGAAATGCAGTTATAACTTGAAGAATATTTTCCAGAAAATATGTCTTACTCTTGTTGTTGTTTATATGGTTATTGGTGCCCATTTAAGCATTACAACTCAGTTATATTTAGAAAATAAAGTATCATCTATTCCAGAAACTAAATAAAAACAGCAACCATTTATTATTTATCTGGTGCTAGGTGCTGTGCTAAGTTATATATGTGTTTATATATAATATATGTAAAATTTTACATATATTAGATATAATATATAATACACTTCATGTATTTACATATGTAACTTAATTTTCACAATGACCTTATGAGATGGCTACTATAACCCCAAATAACAGATGAGGAAACTGAGGCCTAGAGAGGCTAAAGTAACTTGTCCAAACACACAGCTGGTAAGCAGTAGAATGTCAGTAGAGTCTCAGGTCCCTCTGGCTCCAAAGCTTCTCATCAAACCATTGATGTTACTGCCTCTGTGATATATATTTTAAAATTTGCTTGGGAATCATCACAAAAGAAGAATTACTATTATTCTTAACTCATCATATAATTTTCCAACTGCTCCATGTTGAGAAATAAAAAGCCAGAAAAAACCAAAATGATATTTTACCAATATGAAACTGCCTGCATTTCTTTTCTAATTTGAAGCAGCAGCTCAAGAACGCCAACATGTGCCCCTGAACTGGCGGCAGAATAATTCCAGAGGGCCAATCCTTCTTAATTTAAAGCGCTTTCCTCTCACCAAACCCATCTGTCCCAATGAGAAAAACATTTTACTTAAAGCTATTTCTTGTAATTGCTAGCTAGGTGGGGAGATGAAGGGAAGACCGTCTTTCCCTCTCTCTCCTTGCAAATCTGCTTCTTACTTATTCTTTTAAAATTCTTCCCTGGGCAGTGGAGAACTGTGTCTAAGATATTTAAGCTTGAAGCCTGAAGTATAAGCCTAGATTCCCATTCCCTTGCAAATCACTTATATGAAGCACTTCTCAGCAATTCAGGAGTAATATTCTGGAGGGAGACGTGTCAGCATTAGAGACCTAAATACTCAAGTTGCCAGGAGACACTGAATCCCAAAATCTTACAGCTGGAAAGGATCTAGGCTGACTTTCAGTTATCTGCCAACAAAAAATCTGGGCAGAGAGAAGGTAAGTGGTTCACTTAAGATGTTCTGCTTGAACATGGACAGAAATAGTTCTCCTGAGTTGAGGTCTCCTAAAAAAGCATTAATGCAAATAAAGGCACTCTATAAATTACCTACCAGGGGTAATCATTCAAGCCAAAAATGATTCCGCACTACAATATGAGAACAAGCAAATTAGAACACTACTCTTTAGATGAAGACAGTAAATGGGATAAATGAAATACTTACCAATGGAGATAGTATTGGGAGAAGGAGGGTAATGGTAGCTGGATTGCTGGCTACCTCTGTTAAAGACGTGACCATCAAAGAAGATAGCAGAATTACTAGCCATAGTGGTAACGAACCTAGAGGAGATAGTTTATTTCCTATCCACGCAGATAGTCCTGATACCTAAAAAAACGAATTTGCAACATTTGTTATTCATTAACAATTCATCTTATTCAGACCCAACTTAAATATATAAAAAGCATTATTTATTCTAAGAACTCAGCTTCTTAAATATAATTTTAATCTCATACTTTTCTGTAGTTTGGTAGATCTAGGTGGCTTTGATAGAGGAGTACTCAGTTATTCTTGTTTTAACGTACCAACATGCTTTAGGAAATTTGAATTGTCTTCCCACATTTTTCAATTAAATTTTAATTTTATCTAATTAATAAATGCAGGTATTTTAACAAGTCACTTAGGACTATAGAGTTTTATGAAAAGAGCAGCTCTTCTAGTTTTCGTCTCTCTACTCCTAAGTTGTGTTCCCCAGAGGCAATAACTTTCAACACTTATTAGCTATTTCTAGCTATATTTAGGTATTTATAGCTATTTTTCAAAATCATAGTTTTTCCTAATTTTCAAATTTAGACATTATTTATTGACGTCATAATATGTGACACTATCTACCATACATATATTTCCTGTGCCTCCATTCCCTTATACTCATACATTAACATTTTTGGTTAAATCAATATTTAAAGTTTACCATTGTGATTATATGAATACTGTTCATACCTGAATTACTTAGTGTACTGTGGTTACACTTAGCCTTTTTGTTTGTTTGCCTGTTTTTGCAGGGAATAATTGCCTCAATCTTTTGTTTGCTTGGTTTTCCAAGGACCTATCACTAATTCTTCAGCACACTTTCCAGTAAAATTGGAAAATTCCCTGTGAGTAGACAAACATTTTAAGTATCTTTTTCATTTTCTCTCATGGAGTTGTCCATTCTGGAGTATTCCCTCCTTTGGCTCCATCTGGACTAGTTGCTCTCTAGGTCTACTCTGCCGTTGTTCTGAAACCTCTCTTCACTAGGGTACCATGAATTCCTTCACTAACCTCTTATGTGGGAATGCTTTCTTGTTAACTCCTTTGTATTAGTGAAACACATTCTTTCATAGCTTCCTGAGAATTGATATATGGGAAGTAAAATTTTACTCTCTGCATGTCTGAAAACCTCTTTATTTTCTTTTCACATTGTTTTGATAGTTTAGCTTTTGTAGAATTCTAGACTTAAAATAATAATCACTCATCAGTTTCAAGCCATTGCTCCATTTCCTGTGGTTTCCAGTTGGGTTCTTTAGAAACCTGATGACATTCTAATCTTTGATTCATTGTTCATAGTACAGAAAGATTGGCTGCACTCAGATTAGTAGATATTTAGTTCTATTTTTCTCTCCAAATGGAAGGGAAAATCCTCCATTTGTGAGATTTCAGTGAGCTACTGCATGTGTGAATCTTTAAGCTCATGACAAACTAGGATTGGCATCAGTAAAGCTCTAATTATAAGCAGTAAGCTCCCAGATGAAAAGTTGGCAAGAACATCCCCAGATGTGGATGCCAGATATTATGTACGTTATTTGTGGTTTAGACTTATATTTTTGTTTTGACTTTTAGATGGAAAAAGACTGTCTACCATTTAAGTCACATTGGCACAAATTTATCCTAGACTATAATAACACATACTTTAAAAATGGATTTTATTTATGTCCGATTAGATGCTGGAAAAGCATACACCACATATTGTTCCCCCTCTCTGGAAGCCATTGGGATCATATCATCACACCCAGGGTTCTGAAATTCTACATGAAGTGCTTTGATATTGGGCACTCAGTAGCTTTCTCAGTCCAGAATCTCAAAGTCTCCAGTGCTAGGGAATTTCTTGTATTATTTTTTGGCAATGTTCTTATATTTATTTTTCTTTTCTTTTTTTTTCTATTTCTGAAACTCCTATTAGTTGGCTCTTGGACATTTTGGATTGATACTCTAATTTTCTTATCTCTCTCTTTTTTTAAATTTACCTGCTCTTCATCTTTTTGTCCTATTTTCTGAGATAGGATCAAACTTCATCTTCTAACCCTGCTACTGAATTTTAAAATTTTTGTTATAATACTTCTTATCTTCAGTGACTCTTTATTTTCTGTCTATTCCTTTTTTCAAAAAGTAACATTCTATTTTAGTTTTGTGTCTTTAATGTTTCTAACATTTTTTTGAGGCATCAATGACAAATTTTAAAAGTTTTCTTTTGCTTCATGCATTTCCTTGCTTTTTCTGTGTTCCTTTTATTTTTTGTTACTGGTTATTGTAGCAGAGGCTTTTCCAACTGTCTGGTGATTCTGGACTATCTCTTCGTGTTTAAAAGGGAGGTAATAAAATGATGATTGGGGGTTCTTTGTGTCTGGGCAAGGATTGTTGAGAGGAAGACTTTACTGTAGGTGACTAAGTTGTGAGCTAGTGTCTCAGTGATTCAATTTTGTTACAGAGTAAATCTAAATTTTCTACCAGGGAGAAGAGAGAGCAGTTGCCTGTCTATTCAGGACTGGGGAAAGTATCTGGGAAGCTCACAGCTCCTTATACACTTTTTGAACCATCCTCCATGTTTAGTTCTGTTTATTCCCTGGCTTTCAGTTAATCTGCTGCTTCCCATTTCTAAACCCTTCCAGGATCCTGTGGATGAATCAGTTTGTTTCTTGTTGGCTTTTCCTTTTGCAGGCCCATAGATTTCATCTTTCTCTACTTTTCCTGCTATACAAAGTCAGTTACCCCTCAAATATCTTCTTTCCGTCTCCTAAATTTTATCAATATCTCTTACATGTTATTACTCTTGCTGTATATTCTTCATCTGTATGAACTGATACTCATTTGTTCTATTATTGTTATTAGAGGAGATCTGAGAAAAATAGTGTTAAATCCTCCATGTTTAACCTAGGAGAAAAATTTTGAGGGATGTGTGAAAAAGGGGGAGGAGGAGTTATTCACTGATAAGAATTTGAAAGTGACTACCAGCTCATGAGAGTTTAATCAGGTTAAAACAAAATCAAGGGGTATTCAAGAGAGAGGGGCTTATAATTAGGTGAATGCTTTAGAAGCTGCTATCGCGTGGTTCCCAACTAGAAGGGTTATCTATTTCTGGACATTTGCCAAACTAATTACAATTTGGAACAAAATTTTAAAAAATTAACTGTCTCTAAATCTTTGTAAAACCAGCTTCTAAGGATATATTTGTCCGCAGTCATATTTTTGAAGCTCATAGCTTCAATCTGACCACTCAAGGGTAAGGTTATTCTGGGTATCCCATAGAAATCTGATTCTATGTACTAGGATTTTCACAGCAAACTATACCTCCCTCCATGGTTTCCCTAATTCTTCCAGGGAGAAGCCTAGTGCATCAGACTAAGTCCACACCTTTTCATTTCCTTAGATTTTGTTACTGTAGGGTCTGGCCAAAGCTTTTAAAACCACTTTGAGCTTCTAGGATCCAATCCATACAGATATTCTGGGAAGGAGAGATGAACAAAGTTCACATCCATGCCGGAATTGCTGATTCTGATTTCCTCACAATTCAAATTAGCAGACATAGGAATGGAAGTTAGTTATTCTGAGAAACCAGATCTCATTAATGCTGAACTAGTAGAAAAGTGCATTTGTCTTATATTTCTATCATTTATATTTGAGCACTCTGTAAGACAAGCCAAATCTAGACCTAAAATGACTTGTAAGTGGCACTCAGAATTGAGACAATTTCTAAAACTTTCACCTATTACTAAATCCTATTGCTGAAACCTCAGTATCTAAATACCATACAGAAAAATTGACAATAAAATCAGAAGCAAAAAACAGTCTCCCTATAGGTTATCAAGAAAAGAACAGAACAGATAGTTACTCGTCTTGAGAAGTGTAAAAATTTAACTTCCCATAAGCTAAAAGCCTGGACACAACACCTCCCTCACCATCCTTTTAAATTTGATGACTGAGTAGGGAAATGGAATACCCTTGAGCTTTGAGTGTTTCACAGAAGGCTATGAAATCCAGAAATAAGAGGTTTTTAACTATTCAAACAGTAAAGGATTTTCATGGACTTTTTGGAGAAGGTGCTTTGCTTCCAGCAGCCCTTCAAAGACCAGGGCAATTTCAAGGGACAAAGTCTTCCCCAGACTTCTACTTTATATCAACTGGATAGATAGGCCAAAGAAATAGCCAACTTGATTCCTCATGGCGGTTTTATTTCTCCCTAAAATTAGACATAATACAATATTAGACACGGTTATGTGAAATTTTCTCGCGACTTCATTCAATAAACATGTATTAATTACCTTTAATGCTATTATTATTTCTCATTCTCCTTTCTTGACAGCATTAGGACCAGGATATATTGAAGAGAACTCTGAGAGCTACCCAAATTCATCATGACATAAGGTAAAGGTATAAACAAAAAAAAAAAATCTGTTTTACTAGGAGTCACTGTACATATGATTTTCACATAAGTTTTTTTCTTACTAAGCTAGTCTTCTAATACTATTTCATGGATTAAGAATTCTAACCTTCTTTGCTTTATTTCTTTTGACACACTGGGATGTCACAGAAAATAATGGTTTATGCTTATAGCCTGTAAAAATTCTTGAACTTTGAACTTTGTGTGGAACACTTACTGCATGGCTATTGAATTCTACATCATTAAAATGAGATGATGAGGTTGAATATGCCAAAAGCTTGAATGTCTCTGTGTTCTTCTTTTGAACAGTCTAGCTAATTCTTAAAAAGCTTAAACACAGAGTATTACCTCACAGCCATCTGCCAAGGCAAAGCCTCCACCAACAAGTATCGCTATATCCCAGGGCATGAATGACTGGAATTCCTTCCAAGTAATCAGTGGAGAGTAATCAAAAGCAACTGGAAAACAAAAGTCCTACAGTTAACACATTGCTTAAAATATGATAATATGACATGTTTTTAAAAAATTATACTAAATAGCCATCTCACAGGAAGTTTTTAATATTCCTATCTTGTTTTTAGAGAGGGGACTTGATCTGGACTTTAAATAATCTCCACCTGGCCTAGGAGGAACATTATATTATAAAAAAGGAAAAAATGCTATAACTCAGAAAAATCCTTTGGATCGTATTATAGAACAAATTTAGATAAATTATAACACTGTAATTTATAATGCTATTCATTCATTCATTCATTCCACTAAAATCTTTGCCTATTACGCTAACACAGTGCATTGGACTATACTATTCTTTGCTATGCAAAATGTCTGTAACATTCCATTAGTTCTAACAGCATCAGTATAGAGTTATAATTATCATTCACTAATATTTATTTGAATATTGTATTATTTTTGCAAATCATGAGGAGGGTCATGATAGATGCATCAGGATTCTAGTTTAAAATAATTCCAAGTTCAGATTCAATAATTTAGGTATCATTCATGAGACCCTTAAAATGCTGATAAAGCAGTTATCACAAAGATTTCTTTTGATGCTTGGGTCCTGATGGCTTCATTGATTTGTCGAGAAATAAGGTCATCCATGAACACATTACGTCCATATAACATTTGTGTGTAATGGGCAGCCTTCTATATGGTGAGATTTTAAGGTTACTATTAAGCCTCCTTCACTCAAACCTAAACCAAACCTACCCTCACTGCTGACTGAAATGTTTGTATTTCTTACTTGAATTAAGGCCAGATATCCTGTTAAAATGCACACATCTCTGAAATGTACCTCTCATTTAAAATTTAATATATTATGTTTTGTACATCATTTTAAAATCTAGTGTGAATGAATTTATTAAGGAGGACAGGGTTGAAGAATGAGAAGAGGGAGAATGGTGGGTAGAGCCAAGGCTTTTCTGAGGGGGATTCAGATGTGGGAGCCAGGGAAGTTAAGCCAAGCATTGGTTCCTCAATACTTGCCACTGCCAGGCCTCAGGGCTTTTACTGCAATGGTCGGAATCCTCAGGGTCTCCTAGGAATCAGTGCTCTGAATTGCAACATCTCTTGATAACACAGTTGGAGATGTTCTAGTCTCCAGTGAAGAACAAAAGGCATTTATTTCTACGCTTTGCTCTTTACACATATCATGTCCTAGAAATCTGACTCCGTCGTTTATCTACTCTGACTCAAGGAGTCAGGTGAGCCAGCCATAAATCCCAGTTCCATCCCAGTAAAAAAAGAAGAAAAAAAGAAAAACCAACAACAACAAAAAACACAATTCTACTCTACTAGGCTATGTTAAAACAATTTTAAATCATTTCTCCCACACTGATAACATAAGAATCTGACTACCCAAAACATGCTATGTTAGTATAAAGCATAGGCGTGGATGAATCCTGTGTTTAAGAATGTGTGTGCACGTCAGGGGAAGGAGGAGTATGCTCATGTAAACAGACATGCTTCTTTGTCCGTATGGTATAAAAACAATGAATGCCCCCACTGAATACCTTTTCTTTCAATCGTGACACTACGTTATAACTAGTGTGGGGTTGATATGCATGTTTTCCAGGACTACTATATAAGGTTATAAACACTCTTTTCCTTGAAACTCCTCAACGTTTTAGACCCTCAGCATTTATTACCAAGGGGTCATCACAAAGTAATGACTTCCATGTTCTCATTCCTATCTTTGTCAATAGTAAAATTAAATATGATTGTGGCAGGGGAAGTGGACGTATCACAGCCCAAGCAGCATCACTTGGAGCAAAATCCTAACCATGGTGCATAAAGAAATCTACTTCTCACTTCTGCATAGTCAGATGATCCCTCTTGTAGGTGGATGATGTGTGCTGGCTGAATAGTAGTTGTGGAGTGCAAACAGGGCATGCTAAGCTGGGGTTGTGTCAGTGAGTCCATTCCTTCTGTTCTAAGTGCTAACTCAAACCAATGGAATTTCGTAATTTTTGCTCTGCTGTCAAATTCATTCAGAATTATAAATAATACTCAACCAATTTCTCCTGTAGGTGTAGTTTTAGTCAATCTCTTAGCTGGGATAAGAAAGAATAGGAGTCCTACAAGCAAGGCAACAGTTGAATCTGTAACATAACCAAGATATCTGAAAAAGAACAAATGTGTGTGTTACAAAAGCCCATCTAGAATTTGCATGAACTAAAAACCAATTGATTATGCTAATAACACATAAGTATACGTATAGGTTATTTATTCTGGATAATCTGCTCTAAAATCTATGAAGTTCTAACTAAATGATATAACTTAGTGGAACCAAAAATCTCAGAGCATGCTCCCATTGTTTCCAGATATGTCTTCTTAATTTCAAAACTGTGTCTACACGTGTTGACATACTAGGCCAGTGTGGTAAACTCTCTTTTAGGTAAAGTTTACAGATCTGGTAAACAATTTCTTCTTTGAATTATTTCTTTTAATCATATGGGCAGAGAATTTAGGTTGAAACAATTGCTAGACTAGGCAAAGCCCCATATAATTGTTTTATAACATCCTACTTTTGAATTATGTCAAGGCATGGATGTTTCTAGAGTACTCTAAAACTCTTCTGTAAATTGTGAAAAGGAATTGTTCTATTTTTCTAAGATGCAACATCTGCTTCTGTGATGATAGGCCCTAGCCATATCATACAACTAAAATCAACCCATTTAATACTTTGCACCCTGTGAAACTGAATCAAGAATATTAATTGTTAGAATGGCTTATGAGATGCTCATAAATGATCATTGTACGAATTAAGAGTGATTTAGGAACAGATGGGATCTTAGAATCACCAGACCATTCCAGCAAGTAAGATAGATTTACGGAAGCCTCAGAAGTCAAGAAGCAGCTGGAGACCAGATATGAACGAACCAAGCATAAATAATTAAAATTCAGTTTTAAAAGTCAGCATATTAACTAGTGAATCTTTGTAGTCTAAGAAGAAATATGTACACCCTAAAGATTATTTTGCTACTATGTAGCTCGGTAATGCCTACAAACGTAGAAGCTCTCTGCTCCTGTAATTTACTTGAACAATCTAAATAATCAAGGAAATGCATTATTTTATTCAATCTGACAATTTTATAAAGCAATCTGTTTTCCCTAAATATAAATTTTCTTTATTTCTTTGTTGAGTAAAAAGCTATCTTTGTGTAATTTATTCAACAAACTTAACCAACACATTATTTTATTGTTCCCTATTTCCTTTTTTTCAGTTATAGTTTTTGGATGAATTTTTGCCAAATTAGGTTAGGCATCATGTAATCTGATTTTGTTTTATGTGAAAAGACACACTGAATTCAGTCCAGGTTCAAACAGATGGAATGAAAACATTAGGTGGTAGCTATAAATCTTGATACATCAGTCTAGCTTTGGAAATTCTAAATGCTTAAAACCTCTACATTACAATATATTCTACAGAATATATACATTAAATAAAATCAAGCCATAAATATTGAAATGATTTCTTTCAAAAGACTTTTAAAACTATTATTATTAGTTAATTTTATTTTTAGTTTATTTTGAACTGTTAGGTTGTCTCGGTATTACAAAATATGAAGCTTATACAAATTTTATTTTCTTTGGCAATTTTAGCATTTATAAAAAGGAGGAAGAATTATTTTTTATGTTGGTGTAGGTCCTGTCACAAAACTACAAAGCACTAATCAAACTATTAAACAAGAGTTTGTTTTTAATAGCTTGCTTTGAATAATTGAATGCCGCCTTCTGTCTAGAATTCTTAAAATGAAAAGTTTCACTCCTAAAAGCAAGAAAAAGTATATTAAGCTGAAGCTGATCCTTTGAAACATGCTACCACATTACATTGCTACACTTGTGTGCTCACTAGGAATTTGCACACAGACTTTGCACCTTTAAAAAATGTTAGCAATGCTTATATAACCAGAAGGCTCTGATTCGAGGAAAGGAATTTCTTTATTCGGTGTGGGCAGAGTCCATTTCACCCAAACAATTTTGGTTTCTGCCCCAAAATACATGGATTCTTGCTGGAGGATGTGAGACAGGAAGCCCAAATCAGAGATCTGCTGAATTTAGGAAGCAGACGACTTCAGTGAGAGAGAGATTTGGAACACAAATCTCAAAACCAAAGTATTTATATTGACATGTAGGATGGTCCTTAATTTAGAAAATTATGCTACAATCTTCCCCCTCACTTCCCATGACTCAGCAATGACTGCTGGTATATAAGACACTGAAAGATAAAATTAACTCTGACCCAGCTTTTTTTTTTTGGTGAGGAAGATCAGCCCTGCGTTAATGTCTGTTGCCAATCCTTCTCTTTTTGCTGAGGAAGGTTGGCCCTGGGCTAACATCCGTGCCCATCTTCCTCTACCTTATATGTGGGATGCCTGCCACAGCATGGCTTGATAAGTGGTACATAGGTCCATGCCCAGGATCCGAACCTGTGAATCCTGGGCTGCTGAAGCGGAGGGCACGAACTTAACTGCTACACCACCAGGCCAGCCCTGACTCAGCTTCTAACACTTGTTTATAAAATCAGTCTTATTACTTATTCAGGAATTCCTTATCTATAAAATAGGGGCAGGAATGGATTCATAGTGAACTAATGCAAAATAGACATAAATAGAGAAAAAGACAAGTGATTGAACCAAATAAATAATCCTCGATAAAAGTAAAAAAAAAAATTAAGATGGCAAAATCATAGAATATGAATTCACATTAGGTTATGAAAAAGCATTGAGTGGCATTTATTTCACAGAATAAACATTTATTATTGCACGTCCTATAGGGAGAAGGGCAGCACTATTATAAGTGCTATTATTAGCTCCATTTTACTGATGAGGAAACTGAGAGATAAATGACTTGCCCAAAGTAAATGGAAGAGCTAGGAACAGAATCCAGGCCACGTGGCCCCACAGTCTATACTCTCAACCACCAGAGAATCTGGCTTTCCTGTAGGGTATATGTCTAATTTTGTAAAGATGGAAATAGCTTCATCTAAAGGAGCCTGATTTCTAGTTACAGGGTAGTTTGGTTATCTTCTCTGCAACCCTACCTTAGATTTCATTCCTTATCAATTTTTTTTCCTGGAAAGATTGGAATTAAAAAATCTTTTGAATGGAAAGGAAGAAAAAAAATCTCATACAATCTATGAGTTATAGAAACCATTTAGGAGAAAGGCAAAGTATAAAACAGGAAGGATAAACATAATGTGTAACACTTACTCTGAAAAGAGAACAGACCAACCAGAAACGAACCCGGGATCTCTGCTAAACCATAGCAGGGCCATTAAAATGAAGAGGACCAAGGTCACAATTTCTTGATACCTGTGGGAAAATTCCAATCCTTTCATTTATTTTCTTAGGACATTTGTAGAAACTCCCTGAGCTACTGTCAGGAGTAATCTTAGCAGACTGGTAACCACTGTAAAACCCGGATGTGTCGATACCGCAAATCGAGAGAATCAGTGAGGTTAGAAAAGGACTTTACTCTTCTGTGGGTCTTTCAGCTTCTTGTCAATCTACCTGGTAAATTTTAGTTAGATGAGATATGTATTTTCTCATGTTGAGTTATATTCACAAAGGTTAGAACATTCAAGGCCCTTATCAAGTGTTATAAATAAATACATTACAGATAATTGTGTGCTTATTTGCATTTAAACAAATACTTGCAGTATAAGCAGCATATATCTGTGTGTGTATGTGTGTGTTTGCATGTGTGTGTGTGTGTGAATCTTACCTTATTGGCCCAAGTTTTTGGTATTCTTGTTTAATCACGTCAGCACAAGCTTTTTGTCTGACTGTTTTGGTCTTGCCGCACTTGAACATCTCCTTAAAACTGAAAAGAATAATTAAACATGTTAGCCAAAGGATTCTCCCTTTATAGAAGATATTTGTGTGGAAGTTTCATAAAACATGAAAATATGAATCTCCCTGATAATAACAGAAATCCGAGCTTTTTGCCTATACGTCCATCTCCTTCTTTGAATGTCCTCTCCTCTTTTTTCTGTTTTTGCCTGATTTGCTCAATTTTCAATGCTTAATTCTGTTCCATATTTTCCACAACATCTTCCACTGATCTCTTCCTTTTCCAAGTCCTTTTGTGCCATTAGAATTTTGCCATGTTCCACTCTTCTCTAATTTAACACTTTATTATATACCTGATTGTATATACTTTAATACACATATTGTATATCTTGATTGTTAATAGTTGCACATGTATAAATTTTATCTCTTTAGTTAGATAACAAATTATTTGAGGGCAGGGGCAGTGTCATAGATGTTTTCTTTGGCTCAGAATCTCTAAACACTGGCATATGCAGTAAATAATTGACTCATCAACTCAATAGTACCTTTGTCAAGTTTATGTGATGGTCGGTTGTCAGATCCATCAATATGCACAAAATATCAGCTCAAGTTATATACTAGGGCAGGAAGTCACATACACCGATCATGGACAGAGTACAAACTAGGTCTGTTCTCAGAACTAAACCAACTCTATTACATTTTTCTTCAAGTTTTTCCACCCCTTATGTCCTAATACCATCCACTAGATAATTTTCCAACTCATTTCCAACAGTAACTGCCAGTCTCTGTTTCCTTTAGCTGCTGATTTTAGTGACCCTTTTCTCCTATAACTAATTTTTCTGTCCTGAAGTCCAGGGTCTTCAAAACCTTGAACAGTTTTGTGAAGCGCTGTTCTCGACCTAGATAAAAAAAAAAAAAATCCCTCCAGAAGAAGAAACAAATGGGAAATTGGTTAGATTCTTAGGGACTATCTCTTGGAACGTCTATGAGCAGCTCAGTTAGATCACGTTATGTGTAGATATGGAAAGCACTTCTGACTGTATATCCGAAGGAATTGAAATCTGGATCTAGAAGAGATATCTGCACTCACATGTTCATTGCAGCATTATTCATAACAACCGAGATATGGAAACAACTCAAATGGCCATCGATGGACAAGTAGGTAAAGAAAAAGTGGTATATATACATAAAATGGAATATTATTCAGGCTTCAAGAAGAAGGAAATCCTGCCATTTGTGACAACATGGATGGACCTGGAGGACATCATGTTAAGTGAATAAGCCAGACAGAGATAAACAAATACTGCATGATCTCACTTATATGTGGAATCTAAAATAGTCAAACACATAGAAGCAGAGGGTAAAATTGTGGTTGCCAGGGCCTGGGGAAGGGGAAAATGGGGAAGTGTTGGCCAAGGGGTACAAAGTTTCAGTTATGCAAAGTTCTGGAGATATACTGTACAAAATAGAGCCTATGATTAACAATACTGTATTGTATACTTAAAAATTTGCTAAGAGGATAGATCTTAGTTGTGTTCTTATTACATAAATAAACAAATAAAGAGGGTGGGAGAAAACTTTTGGAGGTGATGGATAAGTTTATGGCATTGGTATTGACAATGGTTTCAGGGATACACTTATCTCCAAACACATCAAGTTTTGTATACATTTATCTACAGCTTTTCGTATGTCAATCATACCTCAATAAAGCAGTTAAAAACAAAAAAGAAAGCAGGGGCATTTTCTTCTGTAAAATTGCTGGGGTAAATATGGCTATTTATGAGAGAGTAAATAGGAAGACTGAGGTGGTGTGAGGGTGGCTATCACACAAAGATACATTTTATTTATTTTTTCTGTAACTCAGCCACCCAAATTTGTCTGGACTGTTATTCCCTTTGAAGGAGCAGAGTTTCCTCTATTCTGAAGTCATCCATCCTACACATTCATACACTCTCCTGCACACACTCCAACCACTCATCATAATTAGGTGGATGTTGTTGCATTTAAAATAGGTGAGGTAATATTTAATTTTTATAGTCTCAGTTAAGTTACTGACTAGCGCCAGTCTTGAAATTTTACCCCTCATCACAATACAAACACTACTATTATAAAAAATTAATTCATGGACCACTTTGAGAATCATCTGTAGACTAGAAAAGTAGAGTTAAAGGAAAAGATGAGTCTCCTTAGAGACTATTTTCCACCCAGTGGACTGTATATGTACTTTGTCAGTTCGGTTGGGGACAATAAATAGTTAAGCCAAAGCCACACTGGCTTTGCTACAAATGAAGGTTAATGCCTTCACAAAGGAACGGATGAAGCAGATGACAATGCATCAACCTCGTCATTTAACTAAGTTCGGTGGCACTGACAGATGAGCTTCTCTTCCCAAATAGGTTGGGGTCATTTATAATGGGTGAGTTAACTGTGTTAACAGCCAGCACACTAATCAGAATGTATGGTAGCCTGCCAGAGGAGTGGCTGATAATTTCTGTTTGTCAATCTAAAGCCTCTGAAGGTGAACACCCAGGCAGACTTTAAAGGACCCTGAAAAATTAGCTGGAGCATGAAGCTATGCAGTGTCTAACCAATAGTGGACAGCAAGGGGACTGTTGAAACATGCCACTGATCATGATTTATGGACTTCGCCTAACGAGTGTACCTCACAGGATTTTTTTCCTCGTAGAAAACTCATTTCAATACATCTGCCCTTTATCTTCTTAATTTCTCCTTTTTAAGTGGTGGGCCATCTCAAAATAATGACAATGGTTGCATACATACTTTATAAAGTCATTATATGAAAAAACAAAGAAGAAACAGCTGTGGGTCTGTGACTGGATGCTTTCTCCACTGGTGTGGGGAAACCTGTATCCCGCATTGCTGCCTGTACTATTGAATAGACCCCCAAAGGCTTGGATTTCCAGGAAGGGGCACTTAGTATGCAGCCGGCCTCTTCCCACTGATGCCCACCTGCTGAAGTCAGTGACATTCCACACATTTGCTTCAGCAGGAGGACGGCCACACACTGCTCCCACAATCTGGACAAATATATATTTAAAAAAATCATCAGTACCATCTCCCCACTGCTAACAAAACTGTGGCAATTCTGGAGAAAAACCAGGAAGAGGAATGGGGAGGGAAGAATATAGTCCTTATATGATGAGGCTTGGACCATTTGGGCACAGGCTTGGAATAACACCTGATCTCAGTGTTTTGCTTTTCAAAGGAAGTACAAATAGCTGACTGGAGTCTCACCTGCTTGGTGGATAACATGCTGTTTTAGTCATAGGTCCTTGAAATTATTTAAATAAAACCCTATAAAAATGATTTGAATTGTTTTGTTTTTCAGGGGAAAATCCCGAAGGTTTGATAGACAGCATTTGCCCCTTTCTTTCTGGAGTATTGTTATTTGTGTTGAATACATAATGCTGCATTTTAGATTCTGCTGTGGATCCCTGCATAATTTTAAATGCTGGCTATCATTTAAGTGATGTAACTCGCTGGTACTTGTGAACCACCAGCTTCAGTCCCAGCCAAGGTTATATTTGCAAACTTGCCTTGAATACATATGTTTGACACTTCAGCAGCTCTTCATTGATCAGTGTTTCTTACCTTGACTTCTACGTGTTCAACTTGGGCCCATACCTGTTAGAATTATAGCTTTGGAAGAGATCTGAATGATCTGCTAGTTAAATTCTATTATTTTACAGTTGAAGTCACTGAGACTGAGAATGGATTAGGTCTCACAAAGATTACTCATCTGGCAAGTGAGAAGCCACAACTTTATCCCTGGTCTCCCGATTCCTAATCCAATATTCTTTCCACAGAGAATACTCTCCTACTTTTATTTTATTTTTTCAAGGACTTATCAATTTTTTTTTTTTTTTGTGAGGAAGATCAGCCCTGAGCTAACATCCACTGTCAATCCTCCACTTTTTGCTGAGGAAGACTGGCCCTGAGCTAACATCTGTGCCTATCTTCCTCCACTTTATGTGGGATGCCGCCACTGCATGGCCTGACAAGCGGTGCGTCGTTGCGCGCCGGGGATCCGAACCCAGGGCCGCCAGCAGCAGAGCCCGCGCACTTAACTGCTAGGCCATGGGGCTGGCCCCGGACGTATCAATTTACATGCTAGGATGAAGCGTGTTACAGTTTAAAGTAACTCGATAACCTGAGGAAATCTCCACATTAAACCAAGAGGACGGGCAAAACTTCTTAAAATTCCACTTAACAATTTCGGCAGGGTCCTCATCATAGTGAGCTCCTTATGCCCTTTGGGTGTATCAATACCTTATTGGCTTAAGATTCAAAGGAAACCAAGATAGACTTGCTTTCTACAAACTGTCTTCCGCAGCCAACATTGCTTAGATGATATTCTAGCTTACCCTTAAAAGATGTCTTCTTAGGTGTCAGTTTTGTGGGGAAGTGAAACGCAGAAATGCAACATGCGTGAAATAGTTCAAAGAACATTGGGTGAGGAGCTAAGAACTTGGAACCAAGACACCTTTGTTTATCTGATTAACATGAAGTATTTACTTACTTGAATCCTAAGAAAAGCCACTGAAGCCAGATCCAGGACAAGAGTAGAATAATAACAGCAGCCGGGAAGGTGAAGATAAACCATGATCCAAAGTTGATGCACTGACAATCAGGGTAGCGTCTGTGCAAAAATATGGAAAAGTGTTCACGGAAGAAGTACAAGTGGCACCCTTTCTGATGGTCATTGGGAAGCACCAGTTCACAACTTTCCTGCACTACCAGCGAAGAAGGAAGATGTGGGATGTACTCACCACTACGTATAGTAGTTAGTTTTCTATGTGTATGTTTTGTTGTTAGTATGCAAATCATCAGTATATGAGTGAGGAAAGACAAATAAGTAGACTTAGGAACAGATGAAGATTAACTTAACAGAACTGAATTCTGTGACCATTTCACACTGGTAGCTGGCATCCCAGGCACCCATGAAGGGATTCTGATCCAGCCCATCTTGTCTTTCATAGCTGTTTTTCTAGGTTTCTTCTGCCCGAAAACAATGCAACCATCTTATCAGGCATATGCTAGCCCTTCCTTCCTAGAATTAGACAGTACTTTGGGGCTCAGTCAAATGGAATAAATCTGGGCCAGATAAAAATAATTAAAAGTTCCTTGGAAAACATCAACTTTTCCTGTATTTCTGCTAGTATCTTCATATTTTTAGCTTACATAATCACAAAGCAATAGCAACAAAAAAGGATCAGATACAAGTACAATTTCTTTCTACGAACTCAAATTCATTGTCTCGAAGTGTAGTGTAAATTCCAAACAAGTCCCATAAAGTTATCTATTTTGTGACAATAGGGAAAAAAACCCAGGAAATTTGAGAAACAGTTGTCTTTAATTTTTTTTCTTGATGCAGTAACGCAAAGACAGAATTGGAAATCTGGAAAGTACAGAAAATATATAGAAATAATAAAAACACTGTTAACATATTTTTACTTTTTTTGAAATTACTAAATATAGAGAACTTTATAGAAGTGATAGATTTTCAATTCTTGTTCTATTGAGTCACATCTGTATTTTGCCATTTAAAAAAGGTCATGTAAATATATGAAAGGTTCCATGTGCTATGCATCAAAATAAGCCAAATTTATGTATTTTATAGCATTCCTTCTTCTGTTTTAGGATGATTCCTAAGTAATGAAAAGACAAAAAAAAACAAAAAAACAACAAGTTTTCAAATTCTAGATTTTTAATATTTTCTGTAATTTTCTTCGAGTTTATGAAAATTCCTGATTTGCCTGGGCCCTAAAGTTATCATTAGCAACTTGAGGGTGATTTTTACCTACCTTGAAGTGTTCCAAGGATTAGCTTACATATTTATGCAATTAGAAAGTGACAAATGATAGATAAGAAATGCTAGGAATATATAGAATTGACGAATGGAAAAATGCCCATGATAACATTTGTTATCATGTCCATGAGGTTCTATTGAGAATTGCTCAGTTAAAAAGACATGTCTGTTGTCTTCAGTTGGAAAATAAAATAAGAGGAAAAGGCTTAAGCTTATTTCCCATCAATTTATCAGACTTGGATTACAGGTCAATGACCTATGTTAGTCCGTTCAGCCTAAAGACATTTAGAAATGCTACTTGGATTAGGTTCAAAACCAATTTCGTTTTTCACCATCTGTGGCTCATATCTCGAAATCAGGCTGCATTGTTCTCCCCACCCACTACAGAGAATCTTCTAAGGTTTGTTCGACTGAAGAGAGGCTTTTCAGAATTTTTGTCATTTAGGAAAATGACAGCCTTGAAAAGCTAACCTCTGTTTTTTCATTTTGTTTTTATTTTTTTCTTCAGTAGTAAGAAGTATATAAACAACACAGCACTATGGCCTCCATGATCATAACCTTTAGACTTATACTTCGAGTGAACATTTTGAATGCTAATGAAACGAATGGCAAACTCTAAGTAAGGGATTAGTTTCACTGTGGTGTTCCTTTTTCCACTTTCTTATACCTTATAAGTGAAATGACTGCAAGTATCTGCCTAAGGCAAATAAAGATTTCTTACATCATGAACTATGCTGAGTACATTCAACTCTAATAGAAACCTTTTCTTTCACTTAACACTGTGTTTTGAGTATCTACCACATGCCAGGTACTTTTCTAGCTATTAGGGATATAGCGATGAATTAGATGGGTGTAGTCTAGGCTCTCATAAAGTTTACTTTTAAGCAGGGAACACAGGCAATAAACAGGTAAGCATATAATGAATCAGGAAATAAAACAGAAAAATGTAATTGAAAGTTATTAGGGGAGGGAGAAATTTTACATAGTGTGGTCAAGGAAGGTGATATTTGAGATGAGATCTAAATGGCAATGACCTAAGGTTATAGTGACATGAAATAGAGTCCAAGAAGTAACCAATAGGAGTCACATCATATATAAAACCTTGTAGGCCATCAGAAGGAATTTGGATTTTAGTACAAAGGCAATTAGGAGTAATTGGAACATAGTAAAGTTAGTGATGTGATCTAATTTAAAGTCTACGTAAATTTGTGATTTATGTAAAACATGTTAGCTAGGTGGATTCTCAAGATTGAAGACAACAAGAGTGGAAGCCAGGATGTGGCAGGCAGAGCTCCAAGATGACCCCCAAGATTCCTGTCTCAGGTACAAATGCCTTGTGTAATCCTCTCCCTTTCTGTGTGGATAGAATTTGTGAATATGATGAGATTTCATTCCTGTGATTAGGTTCCTTTACGGCAAATGTTGAAAGGATTTTGCAGAGGTAATCAAGGTCCCTATCAATTGACTTTGACTTAATCAAAAGGGAGATCATCTTGGGTGGACCTGACTTAATCAGGTGAGCCCTTAAGAGAGAGACTTTCCTGCTGGCCTAAAGAAGTAAGCTTCCATGTTGTCAAAGGAAGGGGCTACATGGCAAGGATCTAGGGGAAGCCTCTAGGGACTGAGAGTGATCCCACGCCAATAGTCAGAAATTAAACGGGCACCCCAGTAATTCAACCTCAGGGAACCAAATTCTGCCAACAACCTGAATGAGTTTGGAATAGGGCCCTGAGCTTCGGTGGAGATTTCAGGCCCTGCTGTCACCTTGATTTCAGCCTAGTGAGACCCTGAGCAAAGGACCTAGATAACCTGTGCCTAGACTCCTGACCCACAGAAATTATGAGATAATAAATTTGTGCTGTTTTAAGCCACTAAATTGATGGTAATTTATAACAAATCAAGAGAAGACAAAAACACAGGGGAATCTATTAGAAGACAAAAGAAGTTTTGCAGAGGAGTACGGTAGAGTAGAATAGGGAATAGAGTAGATTTTAGCTTAAATTAGATTGGTGGCAATGAAGATGAAGAGAAGGCAATAGATTTTAAGTATATTGGGATAAATGTGGGAAATGAGGAAAAGGTGCCATTTATTGAAATGAAGTCTGAGGGGAAAACAGGTTGGCAGAAGCGTAAGGGAGTGGTGCACTAAGAATGCTGTCGTGGGCGTGTTAGTCTGAGATTCCCTTAGTTTTCCAAGTGGCCCTGTTGGATAGGCACTTAGATAAATGAGTCTGGAGTTGAGAGGAGAGGGCAGGTTAGAGATATAAAATTGGTAGTTACCTACATATAGGTGGGATTATAAACCATGGAAATGAGTGTATAATTTCAGGAGGAAATGCAGATAAGAGGAAGAGGAAATGCCCCCTGGGGGCACTCTAGGTTTTAGAGGCCAAGCAGAAGTGTAGGAATGAACAGATGAGCTGAGTACATTGAATTCCAACAAAAATCCTGCGAGGAAAGCATTATATTTCCATTTTACACGGGAAGGCACTGAGTCTCAGAAGGTTAAGTGGATTGCTCAAGGTCACAGATTGTGCAGCCAAGCTCGATTTTTAACCCAAGAGGAGTGTTTAAAACACAACCTCTTTTCGTTAAAGCACAGTGTCCTCAACTCCAGCTCCCGGATGAAAAGAGAAAATTCCATATATATTGCAAAATATCATAAACTAGAGTACAAACGTTTTGTTTTAAGGACATTTTAGAACACTACAGGAATGACTGCCCTGTTAATGAGTTGACCTAAAACAAACATGTGTGTTGATGCGTGATCAGGAAGATACTGATGTTGCAGTTCTTATGCCCAAGTACAAAATGACGAATAACTTGAATAGTAAATAAATACACAGAAATGCTTTGAAAGAATGGATGTAGCTGTGGAAATTTACGGTCTTGTAACACATTTTGCCAGTAAGAACACTATAAGCTAGCGTCCATGCTGATTATCGTCCTTTCGATTAATGACTGTTTCGATTATTTCTGAGTCAAAGCCACTTTTCAGTTTTGTATTTGTGTATTTCCAGAAGTTTCATTTCAAATATTAACTACGTGTCATTTATGAGCCAGGCTTAGATTTCGAACAGCAATAGCAAAAGTAGAAGCAGCAGCAACAACAATGACTAGCATTATTGACAATTTTCTATGTACCAGGCTCTCTGCTAAGAGCCGCATAGGCATTATGCCATTTAATCCTCACAGTAACGTTATAAGTTCTAATATTGCCCTCATTTTACAGATAAAGAAACTGATGTTCACAGAAGTTAAGCTAATGTATGACAAAATTGAAATCTGAAGCAAAGTCTGAGTCCAAACTGCAAAATCCAGATTTCTTCTTTAGTATTTACCGGAGGAATTATTTCTGAGAAATACATACTGCAGGGGGAAATGTAGTAACGCTTGAAGGTGGCTATTGCTAAGTAAGTAGTTTACCTTCTCCCTCTGTAATTAGTCAAGAAGAGAGGTTACGGATGTGGGCTTTGAATTTAGGGCACCTATTAACACATTTCTTTTACCACTTTTTGGTTTATGAACCTATAGTAGTTATTATTTAACACATAATTAGTGACAGTGACTGTGCTAATCTTTGATAATACAACTTCCTTCCAAGCTGCTCTGTATACCCACGTATTTCACAGCTGACACCCACAAGCTGAATAATATACTTTGATAATCAGCAAGCTATGAAATTTTACTTGTGATAATCGTCCATGCTGACTCTGGTAGATTTGCTTTTCATATTTAACTCATAGCTGTTGTATTCATTAAATGATATTGATGTATCAAAACTATTCTGCTATGAAAGCAGTAATTGTCCCTCATAATATTTTCCTTAA